ACCATTGATTTATATAGGGGCATGATGATATGGGCTGATCTGTTTTCAATACCCTTCCTAATAATCCCCAGCATAGCATTGGCCTTCTTTATTGCAGTCACACACTGTCTCGACATTTTCAGTGAGTTATCTACTACAACTCCAAGATCTCTCTCTTGATCAGTCTCTGCCAGTTCGGACCCCATCAACGTGTATTTATATTTAGGATTTTTGGCTCCAATGTGCATCACCTTGCACTTGGCCACATTGAACCCCATTTGCCATGTTGACGCCCAGTTGCCCATCTTTGACAGATCCCTTTGGAGTGCCTCACAATCCTCACTGGTTTTCACCACCCTGAACAACTTCGTATCATCCGCAAATTTATCCACTTCACTGCTTACTCCCAACTCCAAATCGTTAATGAACAAGTTAAAAAGCAGTAGTTTCTCTATTGAAACTACCAGTATTCTCAATCCTGAAGGGGAAAAATCAAGCTCAGTAGCACCTTAAAGACTCATGATATTTCCAAGGTATGAGCTGTCAAGAATCAAGCCTCCCTTGGTCAGATACAAGTAAGAATGAAGATCCACCAGTCCCGTAAGGACAATTAAACAGGTGGCACGCTACGCTGGCTCTCTAATTCTGTAAGAAGAAGGATTGGATTTATACCCCGTCCTTCACTACCCGAAGGAGTCTCAGAGCGGCTTACAAACTCCTTTCCCTTCCCCTCCCCACAACAGACACCCCGTGAGCAATGCTCCCTCTAAGCTGTGAAGTCTTGTGAGCAAAAATTCTACTTGGTGAGCTCCTGGCATTAAAGTTGTGAGTGAGTGATTGGGCTGCTGCACAAATGATTTTGCTCTGGAGCCCTCCATTCTGAGCTGAGACAAAAATGTGTGAGCCAGAGGCTAAAAAACTGTGAGCTAGCTCACACTACCTCAGCTTAGAGGGAACATTGCCTGTGAGGTCGGCGGGGCTGAGGGAGCGCTTTCAAGAACTGACTTGAGAGAACAGCCCTGAGAGAACTTGTGACTGACCCAAGGTCACAGCAGCAGCTGCATGTGGAGGAGTGGGGAATCAAACCCGTTTTTCCCAGATTAGTGTCTGCGCTCCTAAACACTACACCAAACTGGCTTTCAAGAACTAGGGTTGTCAGTCTCCATGTGAGGCCTGGAGAGGTTCAGACTACGGTTCTCCTAGAGGAAATGACTGCTTTGGAGGCTGGACTCCGGCCTCAACTAAGGTCCTTTCACTTCACATGCGCCACCCCTCAGATCTTCAGAAACTGTTCTACACAGACCTGGCAACCCTAACGTGTGTCGTAATGACATGCTGGAGTTGCCACCCGTTCAGCTGACCCCCAAAGCTGTGCCTTTAACGGCAGCCTGAGATAACCACAATTATCACTTGCTCCTTTTGGCAGGTCAGAACAGGGCAGGTAAAGGCTCAGCTACAAGGGCTGGACACCAGGCAATCCTCGGCTCACCTGCCAGGAACCAGGTCCAATCAGCAGGAGGATCTGTAGCAGCGTGCAACATCAGGGCTTTGATGGGAGGTAGGTTCGGGAGGGGCAAAAGGAAATACTGCTTTACACAGAGAGTGATTAAAACGTGGGATTCACTGCCAGAGGATGTGGTGAGGGCCACAGGAATAAGCAGCTTTAAAAGGGGATTGGATAGATTCATGGAGGAGAGATCGATCAGTGGCTACTAGCTATGATGGCTGAGGGGAACCTCCCCATTCAGGAGCACTAATCCTCTGAATCCCAGAGCCAGGAGGCCACATCAGGAGAAGGCCTCAGCCTCTCTGCCCTATTTATTCAATTTATACCCCGCGCTCCCCGCCAAAGCTCCAGAGGGACTGTGTAGCCACTGTGTGAGGCAGGATGCTGGACTGGGATGGACCACTACAGAGACAGGATGCTGGACTAGATGGACCCTCATTGGTCTGATCCAGCAGGGCTCTTCTTATGTTCTTATGAAGGCCTCAGCCTCTCTGCCCTGTTGTTGGCCCTCCAGGGGACCTGGTTAGCCACTGTGTGAGACAGGAGGCTGGACTAGATGGACCTTCATTGGTCTGATCCAGCAGGCCTCTTCTTATGTTCTTAAGGTTGCTGGGGCTTCAAAGAAATGAAGATCAGCGATTTCCCCATAAC